AAGACAGTACACAATACTGGGGAAGTAAGCACAACTTGACCAAGGCAAGGTCATGGAAGCTTCACAGACACATCCAAACTCCCTAAAGGACGGAATTACTGGGCTGAGGGCTGGGGACCATGGTCTCAGGGGACATTTAGTTCAACCGGCATAACATAGTTTATAAAGAAAATGTTCTACATTCTACTTTGATGAGTAGCATCTGGAGTCTTAAAAGCTTGTGAGTGGTCATCTAAGATACTCCATTGGTCTTACCCCATCTGGAGCAAGGGAGAATGAAGAAAACTAAAGACACAAAGGAAAGATTAGTTCAAAGGGCTAATGGACCACAAGTACCACAGCTTCCACCAGACTAAGTCTAGCACAACTACATAGTGCCCTGCTACCACCACAGACTGCTCTGACAGGGATTACAATAGGGGGTCCTGGACAGAGCTGGAGAAAAATGTAGAACAAAACTCTAACTCACAAAAAAAGATCAGACTTACTGGTCTGACAGAGACTAGAGAAACCCTGAGAGTATGGCCCCCAGACACCCTTTTAACTGCGTACTGAAGTCATTCCTGAGGTTCACCTTTTAGCCAAAGATTGGGCAGGACCATAAAACAAAACGAGACTAACTGGGCACACCAGCCCAGGGGCAAGGACGAGAAGGCAGGAGGGGACAGGAAAGCTGGTAATGGGAAACCCAAGGTCGAGAAGAGGAGAGTGTTGACATATCGTGGGGTTGTCAACCAACGTCACAAAACAATACATGTATTAACTGTTTAATGAGAAACTAATTTGCTCTGTAAACCTTCATCTAAAGTACTATTTAAAAAAAAAAAATTCTTAGAAGAACAAGCAGAGGCAATGCTGTCAGGCCTAGCTTTCAACAATGGATTATCTAATATAATAACAAAAGCACAAACAACAAAAGACAAAATTATATAAATGGGACCTCATAAAAGTTAAAAACTTTTGTTCATCAAAAGGCTTTACCTGGGATTGCAATTAATGTCAGATAACAATATGTATATAAATTTCTGTATGAGAAATTAACTTGAGCTGTAAACTTTCACCTAAAGCACAATAAAAAAAATTGTTTCAATTAAAATATGATCTCCCTAGAGGAAATAAAAAGTCTTTACCAAAAAAGTGAAAAGACAAGCTACCAACTGGGAGAATATCTTCGGACCATATATTCAACAAGAATTTAATAACCAAAATATATATAAAACTTCAACAAAAACAAAAAAAGGACAAATAACCCAATCATAAAATGGACAAAGGACTTCAATAGACACTTCACCAAAGAGGACATTCAAATGGTCACCAAACACATGAAAACATGCTCAGCATACTTAGCCATCAGAGACATGTGAATCAAGACCACAATGAGATACCATTTCACTCCCACTAGGATGGCTAGGAGCCCTGGTGATGCAGTGATTAAGTGCTACGGCTGCTAACCAAAAGGTTGGCAGTTCAAATTCACCAGCTTCTCCCTGGAAACCCTACAGAGTAGTTCTACTCTGTCCGATAGGGTCACTATGGGTTGGAATCAACCTGACAGCAGTGGGTCTTTTTTTTTTCAGAATGGCTAAGAAACAAACAGAAAATAATAAATGTTGGCAAGGATGTGGGGAAATTGGAACCCTTATCTACTGCTGGTGGGAATGCAAAATGGTATAGCTGTTGTGGAAAACAATGTGGCAGTTCCTCAAAAAACTAAAAATAGAACTACTATAAAAACCAAACCCGTTGCTGTCGAGTTGATTCAGACTCATAGTGGCCCTATAGGACAGAGCAGAACTGCCTCATAGTATTTCCAAGGAGTGACTGGTAGATTCGGACTGCTGACCTTTTGGTTAGTAGCCATAGCTCTTAACCACTGTGCCACCGGGGCTCTAGAACTACCCTATGATGCAGCAATTCCACTCCTAGGTATATACCCAAAAGACTTGACAGTGGAGACTTATACACCAATGCTCATTGCAGCACTATTCACAATAGGCAAAAGGTGGAAACAACTTACAGATGAATGGATAAACAAAATGTGGTACATACATAAAATGGAATACTACTCAGCCAGCAGGAGGAATGAAGTACTGATACATGCTACAGTATGAATGGAGATTGATGACATTATGCTGAGCAAAATAAGCCAATCACAAAAGGACAAATATTGTATGACCTCACTTATATAAAAAGAAAAGGAAAGGGAAATGTATAGAGACCAAAGTTTATTACTGGTTACCAGGGGCTGGAGGGAGGAGGAAAAAGGGGATTAGCAGTGATGGAACTATCACACTGATCAAAGGTAGAGGTGTACAGCTGATTATTGTAATTGTTGTAAATAAGTTGTATACCTATAAAAAGTTGAACTGGCAAAAGCTGTGTGACAGATATATTAACAACAACGACAAAAAAAAAAAAAGAGTAGTTGTTGAGGCTGCTTACGTACAACCAAACACCTCATGGGATTTGGTAGTTGGTTTGGAGGTTTAGGGTCATGGTTTCATGGGACAACCCAGTTAGCTGGCCTAATAATGTGTTTAGTGCTTCTGTTCTACCTCCTAGTTCACTGCATAGTGCCTGGGGTCTTAAAAGCTTGCAAGTGGCCATCCACAGCACAACAATTGGTCTCTATTCACCTGGAGCAACAGAGGAAGAAGGAGAGTCAGGAATAGGAGAAGTATATGGAATGTGTGGCTAATTGCTTCCATGAACAACTGCCTCCTTTGCCATGAGACCAGAAGAACTAGATGGTGCTCGGCTACCATTACAGAACATTTTGATCGAAGATCCCACAGAAGACCACAGAAGGAGCCTGATCAAAAGGTGAAAAATGTAGAACAGAATTTAAAATTCTCATGAACTGTAGACTTTTCAGAGCCATAGAGGGTGGATGAACCCCTAAAACTATTGCCCTGAGATAATCTTTAAACCTTAAACCAAAAATGACCCCTGAAGTTTTCTTAAAACCAAACAAATTTAGCTTAGCTAGTAAAAAAGGTCTGCCCTGAGCATTATGCTCTTTTAAGAACTATCTATATGGGATCAAACTGACAACAGCAACTTGAAAGATGAGATAGGAACATCAGGAGGCCATCAGTTCATGTTAATGGAGGAGGAACAACTCAGAAAAGGAGTGTGAGAATGGTTGCAAACTTGAAGAATGTAATCCATGTCTCTAAACTGTACAAGCAGAAATTGTTGAATTGGTGTATGTTTTGCTGTGTATATTCTCAACAACAAAAATTAAATAAAATTTGGAAAAAAAAAACAACAGTGTAGTACTGGTGTAAGGACAGGCATTTATCCAATAGAATAGAATTGAGAGTCCAAAAATAAACGTATACATCTATGGTTAAATGATTTTCAACAAAGGTACCAAACCATTCAATGGGAGAAAGAATAGTAGTTTCTTCAATGAAAAAGGTGCTGGCACACCTTGATATCCACATGCAGAAGAATGAAATTAGACCCTTTTCTCATACAATATACAAAAATTAACTCAAAATCGATCAAAGATCTAAATGCAATAACTAAAACTATACAATTCTTATAAGAAAACATAAGGGTAAAGCTTCATGATCTTGGATTTGCCAATGGTTTCTTAGATATGACCCCAAAAGTACAAGCAAATAAAAGAAAAATAAATTGGACTTTATCAAAATTAAAAACGTTACTGCATCAAAGACACTATCAAGAAACTGAAAAGATAAAACACACAAAGAGAAAATATCTTCAAATCATATACCTTAGGGCCTAGTAACCAAAATACATAAGGAACTCTTACAATTGAACAACAGAGACAAGTTTCTTAATTAAAAAATGGGCTAAGGTAAAGGGAGCCTTAGTAATGCAATGGTTAAGCACGTGGACACTAACTGAAAGACTGGCAGTTCAAACCCACCTTGCTTCTGTAAAGATTACAGCCAAGAAAACTCTATAGAGCAGTTTTACTCTGTCACATGCAGTCACTGAGTCTGAAATCAACTCGACGGCACACAACAACAGGTTTGGTTATAAGGTCAAGAAATCTATTATAACAATGATAAAAAAATATGCTAAGGACTTGAATTGACATTTTTCCAAAGAAGATATACAAATGGTTCATAAGCACATGAGAAGGTACTCAACAACATTCATCACTAGGGAAATGCAAATTAAAACCACAATGATATATCCACTAGAATGGCTATAAAAAGGAAAATAACAAGTGTTGGGAAGGATGTGGAGATATTGGAAGTGTCCTACATTGCTGATGGGAATGTAAAATGGGGTACCTGCTGTGGAAAACAGTTTGGCCGTTCCTAAAAAAGTTCAAGATAGAATTACCATATGACGTAGGAATTCTACTCCTAGGTATATACCCAAAAGAATTGAAGAGGTATTCAAGCAAATACTCATTGCCATTGAGTCGATTCCAACTCATAGCAACACTACAGGAGAGAGCAGAACTGCTCCACAGGGTTTCCAAGGAGCGGCTGGTGGATTCGAACTGCCGATCTTTTGGTTAGCAGCCAAATGCTTAAACCACTGCACTCATACCAGCATTATCCACAATGGCTAAAAGGTAGAAACAACCCAAATGACCACCAACAGATGAATGGATAAACAAAATGTGGCATAGTCATACAATGAAATATTATTTGCCATAAAACAAAATGGAGTGCTGAACCTTGAAAACATAAGTGAAAGAAACCAGACAAAAGGTCACATATTTTATGATTTCACTTATAGGAAATATTGAGAAAAATCAAATCCATAGAGACAGAAAGTGGATTAGTGGTTTCATTAGGGAGAAATGGGAAATGAGAGCTCAACAGGCGTAGGGTATCCTTTTGGAGTGATGAAGTTGTTCTGGAACTAGATGGAGATGGTGGTTGCACAAAATTGTGAACATACTAAATGTTGCTAAATTATACACTTCAAAATGTTAATATGCTGAATTTTATGTTATGTGATTTTATCTCAATTAAAAAAAAAATGCTAATCTTCATCACTCTTACCTGACAGTTAATGTCAGCTCTATATTGTAGCAAAACTGTGGCTAATTCCTTATGTCCTCGATCACATGCCCAATGGAGTAGAGCTCTGCCCTAAAGACATACAAAAAGATAAATGATTTTGTTAATCCAGTGTGGGGCCGTATAAAAGATATAATATTTTAAGAAGGAGAACATAATATGAAAAAACGTAAGTTAATTAGTCTACAAATGACTGATATAAAAACGCACTATGGAAAAACAATAGACAATCCTTTAGAAATCCTGAGTTCTAGTTTTAGATTCATTACGTACTAGGCCACTAGCTTTTTCTGCCTAATTTAACTACACAGTAGAGATAATGATAATAATGTCAACAATGATACTAATAATATTTTTTGATGAATGAACTACAAGAAAATGTTTTGTAAATTATAAAGTACTTCGTAAGTGTAAAAGACAGTTTTCTTAAATTATTGTATTTACTTTTCCTGGTGAAAGAAATCTTACAGTTAAAAAAATGAGTACTAAAAACTTGGTAGAAATCATTATCTAAATGTACTATATCTAAATTTACTCAGCTTTACTCCTTAAAATGGAAGAATATTTAGTCAGCTTAAAACTCAGCATTTCCCCTTAATATCTCAAATTTACAATCTGAAATGTCTTAAAAACACTAGTACAAACTATTAGTGTCTATCTTCAAACATCTGACTGTGAAAGCCACTTGTAAAACACAATAGATGGTTAACCATTAGGAGACAAAACACTAAATATGAAACATTAATTTTAACCCTTGTCTACCAAAGACACACAGTTACTATTAATGTGTTAATTCTATTTTCTACTGTCAGAAAATCTTGGTTTAGTTAATGAAAGAAGCCTACTTTGTTGAATGAATAAACAAAACTCCCAAAGCTAAGGTTTTTTCTGAAGAAATGAGTGATGTATGGCTTAACACTACTTTTTGAGGGTGGTAATGATGTTATCATGTTTAAAGAATGGAATGTTTCTCCACATTAAATTGAAATCCCTGCTTTATGTCATTTCAGAAAAGATTAAATAGCTATAAGCTGGGATAAGGATGGCTTTAAAGTAAAAAGTACCTTTCAAGAAAGCTTTTCTTAATCCACCTACATTCTTTTTATCATTCAGAATCTCTTCACACACCTGTTAGTTCAACTAATTAAACTAGAATCTATTCTTGAAACAAAAAAACAGAGTAGGACTTCTATCCTACGAATTGTCCTTTTCTTACTCTTTCTTTGCTTGATTTACTTTTATTTATCTATGAATATCTGTTTTTCAATAGACAACACAAAATTTTAAGAGAAGCAGAAAATTAAAAAATGTGGGCAAAGCATTCACAATTTGTAGTAGCAAAAACTATTTTATTATAGCTTGTTCAGAGCCCACTAACAGTTTTTTTAAATGGGGACAATTCTAAAAGCCCAGTAAATAAAATGTATTGTTGAGTAGTAAAGCAGTTTCCCATGTTAAAATTTCTGTAGCTCCAGTGTGTACTGACCTACACCATAAAGCTGTTATTAGGACACTAATTCAAAATTCTCAAATGACTAACTAGAAATTTTAATGAGACTTTCTGAATACCATGTATAAAATATTCTATAATTCAATGCAACTGTTTCACAGCTTTTACATGAAAAGAATCAGATAAAATTTCTAAATTGCTATCATTTTTAGTTCTAATTTTAAGTGTACATTTTATTTAGTTAAACCATTAACAAGAATTACTACATAGTTAAGATGACGCGTGACATACTTACACAGGGCACTTACCAGAAGTAACTACTCGTTAAGTAAGAAAATATAATATTAATATCACTAGCATTTTTATTACAAGATGTACAGATAATTCCTACTTCTCAACCAGGTTCCTGATTTCTCATTAGGCTTAACCCAATAGAGTTGTATCAAGTAATGCTAAAATATAAATCTTTGGATATTTCAATGAGAAAGCAGACAAGCAACACATTTTACTGTTAATGGGAGTTATATTTTAAATTTCCCATATGTCGTGCCAAAAATTTACTTTAGGGGAAACACCCATGACTAGACCTCAGTAGTGATTTTCACTTTGGATATATTTTCCAAGAGGGTGGCACATGTACAGCAATGTTTTAAGAAGGATGATGTGCTCTCAGACATTTACACTACACTTTTTAACATACTTTCTGACCCGCAATGTAATTAATTTTTGTAACACATTATTTTAATGGTACACTAATTAACCTTGAATTAGAATGAATTCTCTGACAATGACTTTCTATGGAAGCGCTGAAGATATTCATCTTAAGACCACTTATGATTAATGTTTTTATGCACTATTAAGAAGCTGAACAAGAGCAGGATTAAGTATACAGACAAATAAGTATAGATAAATCAAGCTTTGGAATTTTTACCTTCAAGATGCCCTATATTTAAATGAACAAAGACCAGCACAACCGGGTATCTGAATGTGGTAACTCTTTACTTCTTTAAATTATGATGTTCCTGTAAACATGCTCTAATTTAAGACCATTAGTTTAAGTAACAGTAATTTGCAGAGATGTTATCCTCACAACTAATTATGACAAAATACAGAAACAAACAAACATACAAAAAAAAACCTGTGGATTTTTCCTCTCTTTTTAACCACAAACATATTTGGACCAATAAAATGCATTTATTAAATAAAGTACAGGATTCCATAATCTCTCCTCCAGTAGAAACACCATGAATTAGGTGAACATTAAAGTTACAGTTGCTTAAAGACTTTACTTAAATTTATGAAATAGTTTAACCATTTATTTACATATTGTTTTATCTTCTTCTATGACCAGTATGATCTCTTAAAAATCTTCAAGTTAAATTTATCTTTACTGCTACCACCAAAGCTGGTAATTTTTTTTTTTTTGGTATGTTTGTTTCTAGTTTTTAAAACCCTTATGGAAAAATATCTCAGATGTATTTAGGAGGTAAGAAGGGAAAAGCCTTTATTAAAACGAATTTGTTAGGTTATGAGAAGGCCACAAGCCACAGTTTGGAGAGCTCTGAGTAAATTCCAGAACTCAAATACAGAAAAATACAGGGGGGGGAAAGAGTTCTCATCTATTAAGCAAGGGTGATAATACTTTTCTACCTCAGACAGATGAATGACTCTAAAGTGCTTTGAAAGTGCAGGGTAGCAGCTAACCTATTAAGTGGTATTACTTTCATGCCTTCTGGAAAATACGAGAGTGAGTCTTAATATTTTAAATGCTTCTTTGATATCATTAGTTAATTGTCTTTAACCATGTAGAATTTTTAAAATTAGATTTTATCTTGAATATCACAAGATTAAAAAGAGAAAAGAGATTCTATTATCAAATGAGTCTACTCTTCTTATGGTATTCTGGGATCAGACACAAAGTATGCAGTACGTATGTAGACAAAAACCTGGCAAAGTTGCTATGTTTAAATTTGTAAGAACTGTCACCTTGCCATTCTAGCAAAAAAGGCATAGTATGGTATTGTCTAATTAGCAAATAAAATATCACAAATACGTCAATCTGAATTTCTCTCTGCAAAAAAAAAAAAGTTTTAATTTACAATTGTAGTAGAGACTGACTTCAGTTGCCAATAACCTGTAATGTCTTCTTCTCCTTTATCCTATCTCTATCTTCTAACTTGACTTGCTGTTGCTGCTGTAGTAGTTGGCCAGTCAGAACTCCCTGACCTGAAACCATCAGAATGTTCACAATGCCTCCAACTTCTATCTCCCTCCCAACAGTGAAACAACAATGTTGTTTCAAAAACTTAGAAGTAGGATTAGGAGGTCCTTTAAAGGTCTCAAGGTGTACTTAGCATGGAAAGCCAATGGCTCCTTCTGGGATAATTTATTTACTAGTACTGAACAGAAAATCTCACACCAGTATATGTAATAGGGCAGCAACTATTCAATCTCTTCCTCTGGCTAAGATCTAGGCTACGGAGAAATGGTGTTGCTGGGTTTTAAGGGAATTGAGAAATATTTCAACTACACTACTTCTAAAAATCCTTTCATAAGCAGTATTTTGTTGTTAGGTACCGTCGAGTTGGTTCTGACTCATAGTGACCCTACAGGAGAGTAGAACTGCCCCACAGGGTTTCTAAGGAGTGGCTGTTGGATTTGAACTGCTGACCTTCTGGTTAGCTGCCGAGCTCTTAACCACTCTGCCACCAGGGCTCCTAAGCAGTATTTACTAAGTCATAATGTTAGTGACTTAAGAGTGAAAGAATAAAGAAGGGAGACACTGTTTCACCCTGTATAAAATACTAACAGCAATAATAATAAATTACCATGGAAATAGCCCAGGTGTCCAATATAGGACAATGTATAAATAAACTGTAGTATATTCTTTTTTTTCTTTTTTTTATTGTACTTCAGGTGAAGGCTTACAGAACAAATAGTTTCTCATGAAACAATAGTACACATACTGTTTTACGACATTGGTTAACAACCCCACGTCAACCCTCTAACTTCTCAACCTTTTTTTTCGTGAAAATACACATAGCCAAAGATACACCATTTCAAAAATTTCTACATACACAGTTCAGTGACATTCACTATGCTCTTCCAATTGTACTGTCATTCTCACTTAAGATGAAGGTGTACAGAACAAAATAGTTTCTCATTTAACAGTTACTACAAATGTTGCCCTATGACAATGGTTAACAATCTCACA